CAAGGGGCAGGCTGTTCTTTATGCAACATCTCCAGCACACTCTCTGTTCTGGCAGGCATAATCTAACCACTTCCATTTATTTCAAGTGCCTGCTTAGAGGGGGGAAAAAAGTGCCATAGTTAACTCATAAGGGAGTGACTTGTGTCCTATTACAAATATCCCCCAACCCCCCACACCTCAAAACACCAGAGAATGGTGAATTGATATAAAAGAAAGGGTCTTTAAAACATTTTCCAGAGTCTTCCCACATCCAAGGCTTCAGAGCTTCTTAGTATTTGAAGTATTACTGGAAGTGTTCCATACAATTCCCTGTGCACAGATCTAAAAATAGCTATGGACACAGTAGTAAGTTTTTGTCTGTATTTGCAAGCCCTTATTCCCTCTCAGGAACTGCTACTCCCCACTAATGCTAATGTTTAATGGAGTTATTAAAACATTATAAATTCTTTCGGTAGTGCAGTGAAAAAACAATTATATTCCAACTGATAATGCAGTGATGGGTCATGAATATATCCTGTATATTAGAGCAACTGCATTAAACCAGATGCCTTTTGGAGCCTCCCTGGCCATGCTCTCGTCCATATCAAGAAGGGTGGGTACATGTAAGCATGAGTCAGAAGCTAGTCTGGCTGCACATGAATAACTACACAGTTGCCTTAACTGCAAATAGGCTTTGGAGTTCAGGGTAAACAGCCCCCTCAGTCATCCTGAAGAGATGAGAACATGACTTGCACCACAGAAGCTGAGGAGCTCTTGAAATACACAGTTGGAGGGTAGGAGGACACAGTGTTCTGAAGTGAACCAGTAAGAATCATTCAAATAAAGATACTGCTTCAGCTAAGAGAAGTTAGGATGAAGATTTAAAACCAAAACCCATTATGTACGTGTAAAACAACCCGATAAAACAATGTCAATTTTGGTTTAAGAATTGATGACACCAGACAATGGCCTTTGCAGATCTGCTCGCTGGGAGCTTAAGCTAGAGTACAACACATTTGTTCTGACCACAACAAAAGTATCAGGGCTTGGGAGGCAAGAAAATTTTTGTCCCACCTTCACCCACAATGACAAGCAGAATGGCAAGTTGCAAAGAGCAAAAAAAGTACCTAACCTTGCTTCAGATTTTTTTTGTCTGGACACATGAAAACTAAATAAGTCTTCTCACATTCTCACTCTGAAGACCAGGGAGAAAAGGGGAGGAAAAAACCCCAGAACAACAAAACAGAAGCCACCTGACCAAAGCCACTCCTACCTTGGGCTCAGACTCCATGGCTTATGACAAGAGAAACATCATTTATGGCTGCAAAAAAAGCTTGCAGGTACACGCACCTGAACTCCCAAATATGACCAAATGCTTGCTCTTAGGCTCAAACTGATGAAGCTTGCACTTTTAGCTAAGTCATAATTGAAATGCCAAGGTCCTTTCTCCAAGAAGCCATTCAAAACAGAATTTGTCTCCACCTGCTGGCAATGAAGAATTCACATCCAGTTGCCCAAAGCACCACAGGCAACCTCAAAAGAACAAATGCTACAGGGCACTAAGACTCATGATAAATGTATTCCTTTCTAACATACAGACAGAAAATGGGGTAGGATAATGAGGGCAAGGGAGAAGAGAGAAGAATCACATACTGATTACAAAGGAATTCCTATTCTAGTAGTTAAAAAACGAGGACAGAGACGTGACAATGTAACCAAACATACAATGAAGCTTTTGTCCCCAGGCTACTTGGCTTGCATACAAGGAACAGAGGAACTTGGGTCGGTGGGGACAGGCTGAGGCAGGGAAGAGAGAGAGGCTGATGTTTGTGAAAAGAAAGTTAAATTGGTTAGTTTCCTTTAAGGACTGTGGAAAAAAAAAAAAAAAAAGCACCCTGCTATTGTAGAATCCACCCACTCACTTCTGAAATGCTCAAAGACCCAGACAGGGATTTACAGCCAGCACTTCTAGGCACTGAATGAGGCAGAAAACACTCAAATGCCCAGAGGCAGCTTCTGTGGTCCCAGAGAAGAAGCTTTGAGATTGTACAGGGTTATGGGCAGAGCCATTTTCTTTCAACAAGTTTGCTACTGCTGAGTCAGTCATGAGGCTTAGCACTATAGACCATAGGACACCTGTAAACTGCCATTTTCAGCTCTATTTAACCAACCAACATGCTTTACTCTATTTTTAAACTAAGTTAAACAATTTCCTGGGGAAATAGAGAGTTCAAACGCAGACCAATATAATCCTATGGTTTAGAAGCCAAAATAATAACAATAACAACAAAAAAGATGGTGTTCAGTTGACTGCAAGACTAGGGTAAAGAAAATGTAAGTGCTGAGGAAGGCTATTATTTCAAAAATTGTTGAGAAGCATTCAGAAATATCGTACTAATGTAAGGCTTCAATTCTGGGGATTATTTAAAAACTACCATGAAAATAATAACTGCAGTTCAAACCAAGAATATTCCATTTAGTAGCTTACTTACACTAAGTAAGAAAATGCAGGTTTTCTTTAGCCATAGTTTAAATCAGTTTAGAAAAGATTTATTTTCTCAGAGTCCACTATATCTGGCTTCTATTTATTTATATGAGTCTATATCCAGCAAGGGTTTAAGCTAAATGAAGGTATGGGTTTATACACGTCACTAGCAATTATAAATAAGCCATCTCCTTAAACCACCTGCTTTCTGTAAAAATTTATGCAGTTCACAACTTTTTAAAAAGGATTTTCCTGCTGCTAATCCCCACGCACTCCGGGAATCAGACTTCTGCTACCTCTATGAAACTTGGTTCAAGTTGTGTTAATTTGTTCAGCGATTGATCCAGAAGTAGTGTTTGTATCATTGAGGAGGACACTCCATTACATTTAAAGAACTGTTACCCAGCAAGTGCTTTTTATTTACAGTGGAGGTACTCTACAATCTGCTGGTGACGCAGCCTGCACAGTAAAGTAATAGCACCCAGACTTTCAAGGTGTTGGTGGCACAGAAGCATGCAGCAGGACAGAGTCATGCAGTACTTCTGCAATGCATCTTACTGCTGCACTAGGGACAAGTTCAGTCCTGGTGCATTGCCCCAGTAACTTCCAGCAGGTTAAATGAAGGCCTTCCAAAAAGATCCATGATGAAACTAGACCGTGATGTTGAAGATGACAGCATATTAAATGATCACTTGCATACCTGTACACTTGGGCTTTGTGGGGCTTTATTTTTTGGTATTTCCTGTTTAATCCTCAAAGCCAGAGAATGTAGAGGTAGGTCTACTAGTCTTGGAATGCTATTTATTCCAACTGGACTTTTCCAATGTGATGCAATTTTATTGCTAACTAGTACAGAAATGAACCTCCCACATGATCCCAATCTAAATCTGCCTCTAAAACCAAAACCAATGCTTGATCATAGCATTTCCAAGGGGGGAAAAAAAACCAAACCTGAACAGGCTGCCAATGCAATTACTGCTTACTACACTGGATTTTCTTAGTAGTTATCTCATGTTAAATTCAAGTCCCCAGTGGCACGAACCATCTTTTTATTCCACATTTGAACAGTGCTTTGAACAGCCAAGTCTTGGTCTGTGTCTACAGACACTAGGAATTATGGAACAATTAATCTACCCTCTCTCCCCCTCAGCACATCCTCCCCTCCCATCCCCTGTGCTGTCACATGGGAAATTGTTACATTTTTAGCCTAAGGAAATGAAGTTTATACAATCACCCTGTGAAGATTTACCTAGCTGTTTTATTTATTCTTCAGCCATTTAGCTCTCTCAAGATACTTCAGAGACAGATTTCAAAGATATGCAACAACAAAGCTCAAATATCTTATCAAGTATCTTATTAGTGCAGACAGATGAGTACCTAAGGGCTTCAACTTGAGTTTAACCACAGTATTAGACACTGGAGAACCCACGTAGAGGAGCACTATAAGGAAGCAAACTGATAATTTCACTACTGAATTTCTCTAGTTTTCTTTTAGCTATACTGAGCTCCTTCATAAGAGTTTAAAGGCAAATAAAGCTGTGTTTCTATCCTCTACCTACTCTTCTAATTAACTTTGATAACATCTCTAGGCATGAAGAATTTCACCTTCAAATGTCTCTTCCTTTTTTTTTTTTGGTTTATTTTTTTAAGAATAGCTGAGTATAGTTTGGGGACAGAACACCTAGAATAAATAATTCTACCTGAAGATTGAAGCTTAATTGATGTTCAAATCATAAAGATACATTTATCAGAACAACTAGGAAATCATCCCATGTAATTTTCAAGAATCAGTAACTGTTGTACTAGGTTCCACAGATCAGTACTGTTTCACTGAATGGGGAAGGAAAAGAGAGGGGAAAAAAACCAGAAAAAACTCCTCCATCTTGTCCATCGGAAGAACAAGGAGTGGATTGCTAACAGCTGTCAGAAACATATTCCATAGCAGAAGTGCAGCTATTTTGGCACAAGAGCACAAAAACCAAAGAGCAAGAAAGCAAGGAAGATAGCACATTTTTACCCTCACTGTCATCTTTCAGTTGCTTATCCAAGTTTCACTTGCCGACGTCAGTCTGAAAAGGAGCAGCCCAAGAGCAGCAGCCGGGCTGGGTGTTGCATGCACTTCAAAAGAGCTGCACGCAGGCACAGTTTGCCACTATCCATACAGTGCAAGCTGGCAGGACTGCAAAGTTACAAACTAAGTGTGCCTTCATGCCTTCATGAGCAACCTACTATGAACAGACCTACTGAGCTGCTAAAATATTTTTAGTTCAACCAATTCCTGCCTTTTTTGGTTCCTCTTGCTCTTCCAGTTTATCCAGTCATGTGCACTTTTCCACTCCCTCTCACTGCCATGTAGTTTTTCAAGTTTGGCTCCAATTACCACTTGTTTCTGCTGCTGAAGTGCTCAGATTTACAGCATTGCTACAAACGGCTTCTCTGATGGCTAAATCTTGCACGTAGCAAGCAATCCTACAGCTGAAGAGAGGTGTAATACAGCAGGGAGCTTTTTGCCCCCCCCGAAGCTGCACATACTCACCAGCTGATACTCGCTCCGGCGGCTGAAGGCTTCCTTGATCCCCGAATCCCTCCACAGCGCGCCCAGGGCAGGCACGTACAGCTGGAAGGTGGCAGGCTCCACGGGCATCCCAGCTTTGTTTTCAAAAGCCATCAAAAACATCCCATGCTTCTCATTCTCCGTGTACTGCCAAGGGATCCCCAGCTTGTCCCGTGCATCAACCAGAACCCTGCAGCCCTAAAGAATGATTCAGATACGAAAGTCAGTGATGAAAAGATTAAAGTGTAAAAGAAAAAGGAATCAAAGGTACCTGAAGCTTTATTTTTTTGGACACTATTCTAGTGAGAATCATAAACCTTGTTTATTGCAACATCTCACAGAAATAATACAGAAAGAGCTTGCTTGTGTAAGCAACTTAGCCACAACATTTTTCTCCAGGTGGAAAAAATACTAGCAGCAACAGTTAGTTGCCACAAGCAATACAACCAACAGATAATAAAAGTAAACACCAAATGCATGAGTGTCTGAACTAATGCATGATCCTCATAGCTGTAGTTTTAAAAGTAACACCATGCCTGAAACCGTATTCCTCCACCTTTTCTTTGCATTTGGGTTTTAAATACCAAACACATACTACCTTTCTCTAGTATTAGGAGATCAGAAGAGCACTAAAAAATATTGTTGAAAGCAAAGTACTGCATATTCTGGTGAAGCACTGAGCATCCAAAATTCAGGGAGCTAAGTAGCTTCCAATGCTGTATGCATCCACCAGCTGGTTCAACATTTAGGTAAAAAAGACAACAATAACAAACCAGCAAGACCCAAAAAGCACGTTGCTGTAAAGCATGGTTTTAAAATGATCTACTTGAATGCTACACAACACAGCTATTCAAGTGCTGAGACTTCTTGAAAACTTGCTGTAAATTGGCGTCTTCCCTTGAGAGACGTCCACCCAAAGGGGTTACTCCAGTAGGAAAGTCCAGCAGCAGGAGGACTGAAGACACTGCACGGAGTTCAAGCTACTGGCTCAGTAAAGCAGGTGCAGATTTCCAGCAGCAGCAGCTTATTTTTTGGTCTTGACATGCATTTGCTAAGTAGTCATGACAGGTAGGTTTTGGTACTCTAATTCTGTTCAAAAAAAGTCTAGAAGGAAAAGATCTAGTTCTCAAACTTAATTCAGGATTACTGAGACTGCTTAATTTCACATTTTGCAGTTTTTATGGAAACTTAATTTCATATTCCTGGCAACAATCCAAACACATGAGGTTAAGTAACTTTGAAACTTCAGCCTTGAATCTAACTACACCTATGTGAAATAGCTTCGGATGGCCAGTAATTACTTCTCAACAGTAAGCACTATTTTCATAATGGGTAGATCTATTCACAGTGGCTTAACATCTCAAGTACTATCTAAATCACAAGTGAAAACTGTGGGTAATATTGAACTGCTTTTCATATTGCATTGATCTTTTGGTTTTACAGTTTACAAAAATAAACCAAAATGGAAGTTCTGTTTCCACAGCTACTCACAGGAACCTCCACTGTACCGGACCCATTCTCTCTTTTTGCATACTTTAAGCTATCAGACTGCACGGATGTTTTCTTAACACTTGAACCTTTCACCTCTCCAGTCCTTTAACAGCACCACACAACAAGAACAGTAACTTTCCCAATGGAAATTAAGATTGGAGAGGGCAGTGAGAAGCAACTCCCTGGGAGTATCACAGAATAGGAACTTAGAGCAAAGCAACACTGTTGTCACTATGTAACAGTGTTCCTGAAGTGCACTCTCCCCAAAATGTAAATATTTACGATTCTCTAGTGATTGTGCTTTATTTTCATAAAGCAGAGAATACATCTCCACAATACCATGAACAGACTGAAACTGAATATATTTACAAACTGCTGCTTTAAATTCCAGACATAGCTATTTAGTAACTGTCATACAGACCAAAGCCAACTCTCATCCCTAGTTACAGTTTACCCCTTTATTAACAGAAGTCTTTAGATGTGCTTTATTTGAATAGTGTTAACAAATGTAAATGTGAAAAAAACCACCCTCACAGGGTTCTGTCTGTGAGCTGCAGATGCCTTCATGGCATCTCATGACCTTAGACAGTTTTGCAAACCCATCACTTGCACTGAAGACCATCCTGGGTGCAGTTCAAAGCCAGAGTCTGCTCCCTCCTACCCCCAGCCGAGAACTTCAGGATCAGTATTTTCCAAAGCACTGTCATAAGGGAGACTGGTGGGACAGCACTATTTCTAGGTATTTAATCCCAGTTTGTTTCTGTTCAGCGAGCAGTGTTTATGAACAGAAACGGTTAATTGGTGCTGGGATCACCATCTCCCCCATCTCCCCCGCCGGAGCTCCCAGCCCACACAGGCCAGCTCTGACCTTTCACCTGCTTCGGCTCCAGCTCTCTGCAGCCAGCCGCTCAGCTCCGGCTTTTCTATCTCACAGCCCCGGGACTGATTTAACCCTTACCCACCCCACAGCTACCGAAGTCCCTTCGGCGGGCCGGCAAGACTGCACGAATCCTGTTGGGATAAAGCGGCACCGGGAGCTCGGGCTCGGAACGTTCCCCCCCACTGCCACTCTGCCTTTCCTGCTCCCACTGGAGACACAGATCTCCAGAGACTGCTGGTAAGGAAAGTTTCACCATTTGTTTGGAGAAAACCACAGAACAGAATTTCAATCAAGAGCACAGAGACTGTTCCAGTCCCAGAATAGTCACTTATCTGCTGTCTGCTGTTATTTGGAAATGCAGGTTTGAATCTCCCTGGAGCAAGAGAAGGAACCCAACGTCAACCTCACAGACCCTGTGCCAGCACGTGAACCACTGTAAGCTCCCCCGTGGAGAGTGGGTAGCAGCAGCACCTTCCTCTGACTGTTTTAGAGAGAGACTGTTGCCACCAAATCACATACAGACCCCAGTCTGGGACAACATAGCAGATACAGATGTAGAGACATCAGCATTAGCACTGACAGAGACGGGCAATTTTAAACACTTAATGAAGAACACCCAAAATAGCAAGTGGATTATCAGGAAAACTGTCCAATGTATATCCACAGGAACAGCACTTTTTTTTTGAGAACACATCAGCTTTGAGATCGACACCTAAAATGCATCAGGAATAAAAGCTGTACATAATGTGGAAAATAACCATTTCTTCCTCCCAGTTGGAAGTATTTGTGACTCAGCAAGATCCCCAGTACAGTGAATCTAAACTTAACATCTCTCTTTCCACAAAACAGTTCTATAAATGATAGAAGCAGATGTCAGAAAGATGAGGTGAAAGAGAAATGGCCAGATTTAGTTCCCATGTACTGCTGTTTTGCCTTTCAGAGTTACTGGTAACACTATTTTCTGCAGCCATAATGGACATCTGATAATCCTTGCCCCTTCAATCTGCAGAACGAGTTAGCATAGGAAAGGTTCCCTCTATCTGGAAATACATTCAAAACACTTTCCAAGCCTTTTTCCTCCCAGAAGATCGTGGGAGATGGCCAGAGAGTCACTTTTAGGCGTAGGTAAAACTGCTTATAAGTTTTTACATCCTGTAGATGCCCAGAGACAAAGATTTCATTTGAAAGATTAAATCAAAATAAATTCCTGAAATTTCCATTTACTATAAAATGAAAAAAAGTGTATTAAATTTAATAATGAAGTATATTTATCAAAACTGAATTTGGACTCGGACACCATTGGCACAAGTAAGAAAAACCCCAGCAAACAAGTTTTAGTGCATGCACAACACTCCCTCCCGAGTTCTAATAAAGGTAACACCAGACTATCTTCAACACAGTGCTCATTTCACAGTAAACCTTTTGACACTGCTATGACAGTTTTTCTGCTTCTATAGAAAACATCAATTCACACTTTCATTCAGAAGATCAAATACTGTCCATTGCCAATCTGTTTTCAAATCTGGAATATGGAAAAAAATGTGGCAACGACTTTGGATACAAAAACTTTTGAACATTTCAGCTGGCCTAAACCTTTTGTGCTGCAATCAAAGTAGGACACAGAATAAGCACAAGTGGAGAGAATTAAAATACACAGAGAAGGATAGTGTCAGGCATTAGAAAATGGCAAGACAGCAGTATACTGGAAGTACATCAGGGAGGAAAAGCAGGAAGTTCTCTGTTCCATTCTCTTTCTAATATTTTTTAACATACTCAAGTCCCTGCCATGGACAAAACCTGAATGGAAATATGGCAGAAGAAGAAAAGGTGTGACAAGAGTGTGACACCAGCTAACTCATGAAGTGTCCTATCTTACACAGAAGAAAACACTAAAATAGATCCAGAAATCCACAGCTTGGAAAAAAATATAACTACGGCTATTACAACTAATACCAGAAGGCTACAGAAATTGCAAACTACTCAAAGAAAGGGAGTAGGAAATGCCTGTTCTTCCCCACCTCCTGCTACACGAGTATGAGTGATACACCAACAGTTATTAAACAGAGGGATAAACCAAAACTTTTTTCTGTATACCCCTCAGTGAGACAAACTCATAGAAAGTTAGCCAAAAGTATAACTGGGCTCAAAAAGCAATGAAGTCAAACTGATGGAAGAAAGGCCCAAAGAGGACTACTCAGTTACATTCCAGATGCAGCTCCTGGCTCAAGAAGTTTCCGAGCCCAAGGCTGCCAGTAAGGAGTACACCGAAGGACCACACGGCTCCGGTCTCGTGCCCGTTTTTGGCTGTGGGTATTTTTCATGTCAGAGACAACAGTGCTCGATCCTCAGCCTGACAGAGCACAGCTGTCAGGACTAAGCAGAATGGTTGCTACTCACCAGCAGTATGAAGGTTTTACAAGCACTTGCACAAAGGCTCATTAATACGACTGGCTCAAATATTTTTTTTTCTCCTTGCCTTTTGAAAGTGTTCTAGCTTTGAGAAAAAATCCAGGTTGCTTTGTGTTTTTAAATAACAGTTAAATTACTTTATAGAAATTTTTAGAAAGGTTATCACCATCTAATGTCACTTGAAGCCTGTGATGCTTGCCAACAGATGAAAAGAACTGCTATAGTATTTAAAGAGCAGCTTGATTTAAGAAGATCTTATATCAGTAGTTACACTACTACATAAAACACAACATTCATGTTTCAAATTGTTCACATACTCCAATATTTGAAGGCTTCGTTATCCTTAAAATCTCACACTTTTTGCCAGATGGCCTGACTCAGAGGGCCAGTGAACACAGTTTTGGTTAAGCACCAAAGACAA